CTGGAAGCTCGAAAGCAAGACAGTGATATGTATCTGACAACTCACTATCTAGTGGATAGAGTAAGTTGTTTTGATACTAGAGTACTTTACGACTGGGTATCAAAACATCATAACCAAAGTAATCACGACGACCAATCAGAATGAAGAAAAATCCGGAAAAAAGCCTATGATAACTCAAACTAGGCACACGTGACCGACGTCAAGAGCAGGAAAAAGCGAGCGTCAAGGTCGCAAGTGGTTTCGGTTTTGATACCGATTCATGAAGCGAGCATTGTGACAAGTTGAAATTTTTCTAACGTGTAGGGAGTGGGGGGGTTGGGGGGTGGGCAAGGGCTACACATGCTTACCTCAGACTCTTCCTGCTCCTCCCTTATTGTTTTGACTTTCTACAAATTACAAACAGGAAAAATACATTTCGTGAGGAATAAATCTATTCAAGGGCCACAAACTTTGATCCCAACCGTAACAATGTTGCTAACGTAACACTCAGTGTGACTTTACCACCAATTTAGAGACCAGCCTTCAAACTGTGTGCCAATTTACTATCTAAACAACAAAAAGAAAGCTTCCTACCGCTCGCAGCTCTTGCACTTCAGTGACCAAAGACGCATTTTCTTGCCTAAAAAGCAGAAATTGTAAATTAGAAACTGTTTTAAAAACTAATTAATAGATTCTTTTCAAAAATGGCGGCTGAAAACCCCAAATCGTTCACCTAAACAAGACTTCACACCAGCAACCCAATAAGAACCTCATATATTTGGTAATTTTACTGGGTATCCTATAGTCAGCCTTTTTTTCTGTTTCAACAGAGAAAAAAGAGTAATTCTAAATCTGTATAGCAGATTGCATATGGTATATGACATCTCCCACCGCCAAGCAAAAGCCTACGTAGGATACAGACGATTTCAAACTATTATGTCTTTGGACATTTTATTCTGTGGAGTTATCAGCAAGTTCTCTTTAGACACATTGGCAGTTTGGAGAGCAAGAGAGATGCATGTGAGTTGTTCTGGGCTACGCCTTTGCCTACAGAGTTTTTCATGGGAATCTATGAATCCCAACAACGAATAATACTGTATTACCTAAGTCCTGCAACAACCTGTTCCGTTTCCTCTGCAGATAACGACGCCTAAAAAAACAGATTGGTGGAAATTGCAATTTCAGAAATTATACCTACTTCAAACTTGAATCAAAGACAAAGAAAGCGTCCGTCTGCCAGTCAGTAACACAGTTTTTCATTCGGTCAGTCATTAGTCGGTGAGTCATAGGTCAGTCAGTCAATAGGTCAGTTTGAGTCACTTACACAGTCATTGTGTGGTCGGTCGGTCGGTCGGTCATCGGTCAGTCAGTCAGTGGGCAGACATACGTCAATCGGTCGGTCGGTCGGTCGGTCGGTCGGTCGGTCGGACACCGGTTACCTGGTTACGCTGGGATGTCATAGTCTCTTCAAGTCCTTTAATCTTTCTTTCATTTCCCTCTTTTAACTCTGTGTACCGCTGTGTAAATGGACAAAACCCACAAAGATTTTCTTCAGTGCCGATGAGAGAAAGCTTTCGCTAATAATTGCATTTCGCGCTTTCTTGTAGCTCTTCGCGCTCAGTTTCAATCTTTCTGTTATTTTTTTTTAAGGTTTGTAGTAACTTTCGCATGGTTCATGTTCTTTCGTCGCCCTTTACTTTTCACTCTTTCTCTATCGCAGCCCCTCAAAATTATTTTCATTCTTTCCCACACTCCACGCCCTTTCCTCGCTAGACTTCGAGCAGCCCCCCCCCCCCCCCCCCCCCCCCCCCCCACTCCTTTAAGCGAAGTCCGTCGCGCGAGTCCAAAAAGGAATAGCAGAAAGAAAAAAAATGACGTTAGCGACCGCGCGGAACTTTGGTATTAAACGAAAAAAATAACGCTCCCCAAGACCCTGGTCGTTTCTGTTTGTGCTAACCTGATTAGCAGTATTAACCTCATCTTGAAGCTTTGCCATTTGCTCTGTTAAAACCTAAAGAAGATGATACATAAGTTGATGAAATCTTGAGTAATTTTCTTCTTTTTCTTCCATCAAGGAAAATTGCCCAGTGACGGGTTGTCACATGACGTCACAGAGGCCATATTGGGGTATTAAGGAAACAAAAGAATAAAATTGGCGGCCATGTTGGGTTTTTTGGTTCCAGTACATCAGCCCAGCTTCTTACTACAAGGATGATAACCATCTACTCAAAGCAACTGGAAAATCACATATGATTCGAAAAAAGTACAAAACTGAAGCACAGAATGCATGAAATATAAACCCTAAACAAGTTGTATATACCTACCTCTATTTCGTGTTCTTTCGCGGTTTTTAACTCCTCTTGAGATTTCCTGGAATAACATGAAAGTTTGAGAAAAAAAATAAAGACCGCTGCTAAAATTTTGAGCGTATTGATAGAATTCCTGAGTCTAAGACATCAAAACAGTCTGCAGTTTCTTAGGGGATTTTTAACATTCTTTTAACGAAAACAGGTAAGGGCCTAGGATCGAGTGCTTAAACTCGGACCCAGACTCTCTCGTGTCAACCATCAGGCCACAATGCTAAGTAAGACTCACTTGTTTTCCGAATAAAGTTTCTCCTTTTCTTCTTGAAGCTGTAAGTAACTGTAAAAAGCATGATCTCATATATTAGTGATGTATTCATATTAATATTCACCTAGGAATCATGCACATGGCCTCTACCAGCTCACTAACAGGCTTTCCGTAGCTTGTTGTTCAAATAAATAATCTCGAATTCCAAAGGTCTGGGTTTCGATTCCTTAATGATAATTTAACGTCTCTCGTGCCCGTCCAACACAGGACGATTTACACATTACTGATCTAAGCGTGCATAAGCTCTAAAGAAAATGAATTTTTTTCTATGAACCGCGACAGTAAATCTGAATTACTGCCAATTCTGTTTCAAGCAGCTCGGCTCAAGTGACATACCTTTCTTGTTTCCTTTTGACTTTTTCTGTGAGCTGCGAATAAGAAAATAAAATAGTAAAAACAGATTGACTTCATACTAGGGTAAAGCTATTGACTTATACAAAAGCCTGTGACATAAAACAAGTCACTCAGATTCTATTGACACAAATGCACCATTCTTCTCACCTGCGAAAGTTCCTTCTCGAGCTTTGAAATTTCCTGCTTGCCTGACGTCTGAAATAAAATGTTTTTAGAAAAAGATTAAAGTACTTTGCCAAAGAATACACCACAATGACCTGGGCAGGGTTTGAACCCAGACTTCTCAACCCGGAGTCCACCGCAATAAGTAGGTAAGTAAGAGACTTTATCGGGGTAAGGGTGTCACTCAACAGCAACAATAAAATTACTGACAAACTTGTGGCTCTCAAACCATCAGACTACTGCGCCACCCAGCAGTAAGTTGGTTTTCCCGCTCTAACCCACCTCAGCTTCATGTAGCTGATCTTGAAGGATTCTCTTCTCTTCTCGTTCAGTGTCGAGTTGTAGCTGAAGACTCGCCATCTCCTTCACTTGCTTTTCCAGAGCCAGGCTTCTGACTTCAACCTTCGTAATAAAAGTCAGATCATAGTTGTAAACAAGTTTCAAAAACACCCAAAGTATAATCAATAACATTTACTTGATAAGGACAGCGACCTTGGTAAGAAGAATTACACAACCGCTTTCGTATAATGCAGCTTTACACGCGCTTAAAGCATGTGCCAATCTCAAGTACTACACGCGCAAAACACGCACACTGCGCGTTACTACATGCACCTGCGTGTAATACAAAATGCACGCGAGCGCAAATTATGTCTAAATTTCACTGTTGCCGAAAGCAGTATTATTTATCTTCTGCATCCAGGATATAGCTTGCAAAAAGGTACACAAGTTGTATATTAATATAAAATAACAATTAGAATCGAAAATAGAGACCTCGAAGAATTCTCCAAGGATTTCGATCCGCAAATTAGAGTAAATAATTTTACTGTCGCACGCAAAACAATAGCAGAAGACAAAGCGCTGGACACCCGACTTCATGACACAGAAACCGCCCGCATGTATGCAAATATTTTCATTTCAATCCGGACTCGAGCTCAGAGTCGAGCAGCTCTCTGGCATCTCTGATACTTAAAACAGCATCCTCATTTGTATGTACATGTACTGACCTCTTGTCGACGTTCCCGCGGCGGACTTCTGACGACTGCAGCTGTAACTTGTAAAAACCATAAAAGAAAAATTACATCTGTACCCTAACCTTTTAACACATAACTTTTGACAGTCGGATAACCTAAAAACCTTCAAACTTGCAGCATCAATGACACATTATAGTTACAGTGTAGGTTATGAGGTAAAAGACAGTCATTCAACCCTTAACGTGGAACATACATGATCGTAAATCCTTCTCATAGTATTACTATTGGTACATTTTTTATCTAAAGGTATATTTCTGCAATTTAAGGATCTTTTCTAGGTTGAGGAACATACATGTATTTTTTGGTTGGTGTGACACAGCGTATCGTCTTGGCCGAGAGACTCGCTCTGAGTCCTGTTCGCCAAGTTGTCAGCTTCCTGGTTCACTATCGCAGTGGGAGACCTTTCGCGATAGAGAGCCGGATTGCTAATAGCTTGAACTTTCGAACGGGACTTTGAATACGATGTTGAACGAGTTTGTTTGAAAATTCCATTAATTCATATGCCAAGACGAAACGCTGCCTTTCATGACATCTCATAATCTTCAACATCCGGTCCTTTCGCCGACGTATCAGTCGAATCATCCCGAGTTGTTGCCGAGATGGAACTCGAGAACCGCACGTCGACGAAACGAGCGTAAACCTAATCTTCATAAGGACAGTACATGTGATGTATGATGATATGAGCTGTGAAATTGCGGCCATTACACATGACGCCCTTAAGATTTTCATCTACATATTGATTCATAAATCTCTTACTTTGTAAAACCCGCCGACATCATTAATCTATAAGTTAAGTAAGACTTCACAGAGCTAACTTGCAATTCCTCAGAAAAAAAGATTTCCGAAGCAGACATTCAGGGGAAAAAAACTTTGCAAAAATCTTACCTTCATTTGAAGAAACAAAATGAAACAAACTATCAGCTAGTTTCCTTTTCAAATTGTCTATCTCTTCAATAAAATCCTCATTGCCTGACTTCTTATCTGTGGAGTCAAACATTGCTGTTCCAGGAGCATTGCTCTCTGTTTCAGCGCCATCCACTACACTTAAATTCTCATCCACATCCTTGGCAACTTCATGCCTTTGGTTTGTTTCTGCCTCCTTAGACACATCACCAGTTTTACTGCTACACATTTTTTCACAAAATACTGACAGTTCCACATTTAAAATCTCATGAAGTTTTTGTCTTGATGTTTTAGCTTGTCCACTTTCATTTACAGCATCTTTATTTTCATCTCCATGTGTTTCTCCATTGGCTGGCAACTCTTCGGCATCATTTTCACCTGCATCTGGTGATTGGCAGCTGTCATTATCATGGTCATCAGAGAGGGATTGGAGTTTTTCTTGTAATTGCATCAATTCATCCTCATGCCTCTGTTGGGAATCTATGGTGCACAGACAAATTGAAAAGTTGACATAATTATTGTAATTTAATATAATAATAATTATACAAACAAGTTGAAGAACACACTACAAAAGTCCCTCCTTTTAATCAAAAACTGTCATGTGAGTAGGAAAAATAAACAAAAAACAAAATCAAAGAAAGATGTTTTTTGTCTTATCACGTGGGTGGGGACCAGAGGAATTGAACCTCAGACCTTCAGAAAAAGTCTGAGGTTTCGAGTCCTTATTGGGACTCAGAATTTTTTCTTTGTCCCATACTTGTGACGAGACAAAAAACATATTTCTTCATTTCTTCACCAAACTCAAAATTTACCATCTCTCTTATTTCTATAAAAAACAAAATCGATGATAGCATGCTGTGCTGAACTCTGGGGGTGATGCACTTAACTCCTAGATTTCTGCATGGCCAGCTGACATCAATTTTTTTCTAGCTGATTTTTCTTCTCTATAACTCAAACGCCAGACCTCACCCAAAAAGAGAAACTGCTGATAGTCTACATAAACACTTAACCCTTTAACTCCCATGAGTGACCAAGACAGAATTTCTCCTTACAATTTTCAATACAATATCAAGCAGACAAATGATGAGTAAAAAGAAAAATCTTAATTAGGGGATTATTAGTTGATCCAATACCAAATTCTCCAAACTAACATCACAAGAACTGTATAGCAGACAGTAAGGAGAATTACTAAAGAGATCTTGGGAGTTACAGGGTTAATACCCCAAGCTAATGAAAACTTCAGGAGGGAGAAAAATAACGTTATGAACACACAGAGAACCACAACGTTTCAAATGACTCATATTTCTATGAGCTAAGAAATGGGTAAATATAAAAAGACTGGTGAAGAAACTGATAATTTAGGCTTTTCAAAAGTTTTCCACAATATCACAAATGGTTGTAATCTAATGTCATGTCTCTGTGTTAGTTTAGTACACGTACTTGTCAAACTTTTCTGCAAAGCAGCATTTTCTGCTCTTAGTCTCCTCAACTCTGCATCAGAACCTGAGTCCTGGCCACCATCTTTTGTTGTTACTTGTCTTTGGAGTTTTTCATTGTCATCATTTAACTGGATTTCAATTAAAAAAAAATTGAGGTACATGCACACATGTGACATTAAGCGAATACTCTAAACAGTTCAGTGATTACATGGATAGCAAACCTATCCCATTGCAAGACTGATTGACTGACCAACTAAAAATGGCATGTCTGAGTAATTGCTTGTCTGCCTGAGTGACTGATTGTAAGACTGGAATGGTACAACTGACTGACAAAATGACTGAAAATCAAAATGACTGACTCATAGACTTAATGATTAACTAACAGACTGACTGACTGATTAACTACCTGACCAACTGATTGACTGACTGACTGACTGACTGACTGATTGTCTAACTAATTGACCAATTGACTGACTGACTGTCTAGCTGGTTAGCAGACTGGCTGATGGATTGATTGATTGACTGACTCGCTGACTGACTGATTGACTGACTCACTGACTGATTGTCTGACAGACTGTCTAGCTGGTTAGCAGACTGGCTGACAGACTGACTGATTGACTGACTCACTAACTGACTCTGACTGATTGACTGACTGATCTGCTGGTCTGTTGACAGACTGACTGCATAACTGACTAGCAGATGGATGGATTTAATCATTGACTGACAACTTCTCATTAACAAGCCATTCTTGTCACACAAAAAAAAGAAAAGTATGCACATTACCTTGCTTATCTCCTCAAGAAGGGTTTGGTTTTGCAACTTAAAATTTTCCTCTTGTGCCTAAAAGTAAAAAATTCAGTTGTATTAAAAACATCCAAAACATGAAAATCATCAACTCAAAGGCTTTCAAGTCAACAAAAAGTTGCATCACTGAAAAATCTCATGTCTTGTTACAAAACTTTTCATGAATTAACATAGTTTGAAAGGAAAGATGAAACATCACCGTGGCAAGAACAAATCATACTCATTTCGAAAAAACACACCTGAAACTGCCTTTGCAAATTTTCATTTTCTTCCAAAAGAACTGCATATTCCTTAAACAAAAAAAAGGCCTGGTTCAAACATGCTTAATGTATTACAGAATATAGCAGAATACATTTGACCAAAAAAATTTATATTACAATATCAATTGTAAACAATTTTTACCACACAGTAACCAGTGTTCAGTTTATCAAAAACAAGATAAACATACCTTTCTGTTTTTGCTTTTGTTTATGATCTGTAAAACCAGTAAAAATATAATTTAACATGTGCTAAATTATCATGCATGGAGAAAGAATGATGTCTGATTGTTGTTGTTGAACAATTTCTAACAAAGTAAATTGAAAAAAAAAGCTAGTGTGTTCCTGATGAGCACAGACTTACCTTGTTGGCTTTCTGTAATTCTTTTTCCTGATTATTGTATTTTTCTTGAAGCTGACCAAGTTCTACAAATCAGAAAGAAAAAATTAAAACTTCAAGATATTATCTCCTTTTAATTTATTGCAATAACAAGACCTGGCAAAGACAAAATTTGATTGAGGGTTCTGGGTAAGAGCCCTAGTTGAGTCACTGTGTTGTTTTCTTGTGCATGAAATTTACTTGAAAACTAGTCTTTCTCCAACCAAGAGTACAAAAAGGTGACACAACACAGTCAGGAAAGACTGGTCTTAAAGCACCTTGCTGGACAGCAACGAAGACTCATGTAAGATCATTCCCAGTCCTTGTTTTGTAATCTTCAGTGCAGAGAATAAATTTTAACACTTTAAACCCTAAGAATGATTAACACCTAGTTTCTTCCTAAACTATTACTGTTGAATCTTTCATTAATATCATGAGAATAAAGGAAATGATTGCCAACTTAAGCAGCTTGGATCATTAAACAAATTCTCCTAGTCAGTACCAAAGGAAATATGTAGAGAAAAGTATGGAGAATATGGACATTGATGTTAGGGTGTAAAGGGTTAGAGATTGTTTTAAATTGGTGTAACCTTGGGAACTGTTTTATTCTAATAATTTGATAAATTCAAAGCAGTATTCAAATTTCAATTGGAATAAAGGACAAAGACAAGAGATTTTAGGTCTATTTTTTTCTAAGAATTGAACAATTACGGCTGCATGCATAAACTTAAAATTTTCCGTGTTGCAAATTTAATTTATGATAGTTTAGCTTCGTCTTACAGCAGCTCAAGATTAGCACAAGTTTACATCGAAACCCTGAGTCTGAACCATGCTGACTTAGTATCGCTCATTTCATACTTCGTTTAAAAGAATGATCACGGAAATAACTACTCTTAAATTAAAGCGATTTACAACGAAATCAAAAATATTGATCACGGACAGACCTGTCTGTTGTCTTTGACAATTAGACTCCAGCTCGTAATTCAAGGTACGCAGCTCGATGAGCTGTGTCTACAAGGCAAAAAGGACAAATAATAATAAAATTATTGTTATTGAATCAAGTCGGTTGTTGATGTTAAGTCATAGTACCTGCATTCGAGAGAACTCTTCATCTGACAAGGACTGCGCCATCTTGAAATAGCCACTTCCTCCCAGAAACCCATGCAGTTGATGTAGCCTCGATGCACTGTCAACTTCCGGATCCCGGGAATTCAATATGGCGCCCGCCAGTTGTTTTCCTGAAAATTCTATAAACGCAGTTTAATTCAGCCAATCTTGATTTCCTCTTTGTAAATTTTCTCAAAAAGAAAATTTTCTATATTTATTTATTCTATTTATAATGTTTCAACGTTTATGATAAAGCGATCGAATTAATCGCCTACGAATTTAATCGTCTTTAAAAATTGGAATTTGGATTTTATCGATCACTCTAAAAGGTAGGGAAAGCCTTGTTCAAGGTGATGTTTTTTCTGCGTTATTATACTTCCGCATAGTGCTCTAAGCATATTATTTTCACAAAGCTATATGTTTTCTATATATATGCGAATCAGAACCTTGATGTGTGCAGTTTACTCCAATCAATCTAACAGACGAGATGGATATATAAATATATATATTTTTTTATCCGACTTTGAATCAGATGATGGATGGATCTCAAGTAAACCGGATATATATGCCGGCCTAAAAAGATTCCGAATAGCCTCAGAATATTCCAAAACAAAGCCATAGTCCCAAAGGCAATTTATTGTTTTTGCCATAGTTTCCTTTGCTAGAAATGTATGTATAATTGATGATGGAGTTGTGCGAAAATCTTGCCGAGATCTGCACTACTTTATTACTCCTTTATTATTGTGACCATAATGTTTGATTCAGGGGTGATATGATAAAGAGAAATTAGATGTTAGTCAGTCTTAGGGGTTGAAAGATTTTAAACTGGGTCTCTCTCTAAACCCTTTTTTTTATCTTGAACAGGAATTATTAAACAAAAATGCCTCAAGCAGGAAATGAATATAAAAAGAATGTCACAAAACAGTTTTGGAAGTTCTTGTCAACAGAGCGTCTCAGGCCATCAACAAAACTGGAGCTCAGACAAGTGTACTATGATCAGTTCAAGAAAACATTGGATCGTTCGTCGCCTACAGTGTCTTTCTCCACCATTCTATTTCACCTCAAACGGATGAAGAAATTAGTCAAGAGTAAAGATGGTTCTGACACATTGTTATACTTTGAACGCAAGGGCCGACGTCTGGTCCTGGCTGTTGACCAATCTTTTGTGCAGCGCAAGCAAAAAAATGCGTCCAAAGCAAAGGGAGAAGATCATGAGAAGGATATTGATGAAACAGAGAAGGAAAAGCTTACAGAACATGATGATGATGATCCTGTGATGGAGTTAAAAAAGTTATTTCTTAAACACAAGTAAGTGAGGTTGCTGATGTTACCTCTTGATTGTGAGCTCTGAGTTAGAGTAGTCCTGAGTAGTAGAAGTGTTTTACGTGAAATGCAGAATCATAATCTGCATTTAGATTGGTTGGCCAATATGCTCTCTTCAAGGACAGACACATAGATGATGTCACCATCGGCTGCTTTTTTTTTTTACCATAAATCAATTCTATACCACTATGGGTCTACACAGTTAACCCTCTAACTCCCAAGATCTCATTAGTAATTCTCCTTTCTGTCTGCCAAATGATTCTCATATGTTAGTTTGGAGAATCTGGTATCAGATTAATTAATAATCCCATAATTGATATTTTTCTCAATTCTCATTACTTGTCTGCATGATTTTGCATAGATATAGTAAAGAGAAATTCTGTCTTGGTCATTCACGGTATGGTATGAAAATCAATGACCACTTATTTTTTTCTGATGCTACTTTGACATTATCCGTGATCTGTTACTGAACAGAAAAATACACTCAGTCGTTTAATGCTATACATAAGTAACACTCATTAAAGCCTCTTAAATCTCCCCTCTAGCTGCTACATGTTTCCCTGTAAATTAGTTGAAGGAATTTGGTGGTAGATCAAGATAAAAAATTTCCACCTGATAAGCTTGAGTATTTCCATTACCTGTTTGCTGGATAATGTATGGATATTAAAGGGAGAAAATACATGTGCATCAGTTTTTTAGAATGGAAGGCTCAACAATCTGAGAGTTTCTTCATATTGTTCTCTATGCAGAGAATCATTCGTCCAAGACAAAAATGGAGTAAGAGTTTGTTCCGATTTGGACAGGGAACATGGTGTGATAGACTTTGGCCAAATGCATTTGACAGATAGTGCACAAATCACAGAAATTACTGTGAACAATGCGGGAACCAATGCCATTAAACTGAAGCGATTTGTCGCCTTGGAATCTGTGAGTGATTTTATGCTCTCAGATAAACACAGTGTCACAGTTGCTGGGAAAGTCAATAAAGTCATCAAACTACCTGCTGGGAAATCTTACAAGATATCAGCACTTTTTAAACCAAGCCGTTTAGGAGAATTTAAGCAGCTGATTGTATTTGAATTTGAAGAGGAAGGGGATACAGCTCAGACATATCACATAGCGCGGTTCTTAACTGGACAAGGAACTAATGAGGATGTCAAGAGCATCCTTCCTGTACACAAGTATCGGCATCCCAAGGCTGTAGCAAGAGTGGTGGATCCCAAAGTTCAAATCATAGGTGGAATACCTCCCCCACGGTATGTTGGCAAAAAGAAAAAATTATCAGAATAGTCCATTTTACAGTTGCACGCTTAGTTGCCAAGCCTTTGAACAAGGGTGAAGCTAAGTGTGACCTTTTTATGATACAAACCTTGCTGCATTTCAAATGTAAATTACTTTTTTTTTTATCATGCTTACTAGATACTGATCTCTATCACAACATGGTCAACCTGAGCCTCACTCCAAATCAAAAGCTTGGCAACTAGGTACCCAACTATAAAATGACCAATTTATAGCATAGCTGGATGAATCAGGGAGAGGCTTATTGGGGGTCAGGCACTCATTCTCAGTGCTTGGCCCTTTGGTAGACCTTTTAATGGCTTGTGTTGCTCAAGGCCTCATACAGTACTTTCCCACAGGCAAAGAAACTTGTGCAGAGGTGCAAATAATGTTTTCATTTAATGAGTGATGTAAAAAAATTGTACCATTGCAAGTTCAGAGCCTCATTTGTTAAACACCAGTAAGACAATTGTGACTACAGACAGAATTGGACAATGCAAAGTTAGTAAATAATTTGGAAAAAAAATAAACAAATTGTAAAAAAAAAAAACTGTAAGGAAATTTGAGCTTCTTTAAAACCCTTCTGCTGAACTCTCTATTACTGGGTTATAACCACTAATCTTTTGAACAGGACACAATCGATGATTCTCTACCATCCAGTCACTCAAGCATGAATTAGACGCATGAACTGTCCTATTGCATATAAACTGTCTAATAACAAGCATGATGCCAACAGTGTCCCATTAGAGTACTTATCATAATAATTACAATTTCCTCAAATGTGATTGGTGCATTACTAGCTTTCTTTTCACTAATCATTCTGTATAGTGTAATCAGACAGTTGAATCAGCCAATCATACAAAGCCCTTTCAGCTAAATCCACCAATCACAGAATTGATCACGATAAAATCCAGTACTAACATTAAATAAATCTATCATGATCTTCATTTTCAACACAGACCTGACAATAAACTGCGGTTTGCCACTCCTCTCAAAGACTACCACATCCCCTTTCAATTGCGTCTGGGATTAAATCAAGGCAAACCTGGGGAAGAATTATCAAACCTCTTGGAGCTTGAAGTTGGACCACAACTGCGAGAATATTCTCAAAAGTTTGCTTCACTTCTTTACATTGAAGAACTTCAAATGGAAGTTGACATTCGTCACTATGACATGGAGGATGTATTTCTTAACCCATCAACTCAAGGAGGGTTTCTTGTCCTAAAGGTAGTAATATATAGATTTAGCCAAGCCTAAAAGCAGAGCTCGCATTTTTTTTTCCCACATGTCTCAAGTGCACAACACCTTGCCCCGGCCAGGACTAGAACCCGGGTCATCTGACTCGGAGCCCAGTGCACTGACCACCGGACTACTGAACAAAGCCATGGCGTTGGTGTGCCCGCAGTACAGTTGACCATGCATGTTAAAAGATGCACCTTGTACGGTCATACAGTGGTATGGTCGTACATCCAAATTTTTTCCAGCTTGATGGGTTACTACTATTTTGTATAATTATGGGGCTATGCTCTGCGAGCTCCACTATAATAAGTACTAATTATACATGTAGTGTTACAGCATTTTGATAAAACGTCATGACACAATATGACTGAGACTAAGTTAAACTTAGGCAATATAGACCTGAGGCAGTGATTATTTTGTGTTGATGGTTTTTTTTTTTTTTATTGTCAGGTACCTGGACTTGCAGAGAATCGACCATCAGTTGTAAGGGGTGACCAGATCTTGGTGAGGATCAAAGACAGCAAAGGGCAGCCAGAAAAAGAAGAGTATCAAGGATTTGTTCACATCTTGGGCTTAAATGATGTGCATTTAAAGTTCTCTCCCAAGTGAGTTGTTATTTCAAATAACTGTTCAAATATGTGTACAGCTGCAGCTATGATTAGCAAATACTAGGCAGGAAAATGGAGCAACAGATCGTTTTAAAAGTTAAACTGACTGACAGAGTTACTTGATGACTGGCTAACCAACCAACAGACTGACACACCCATTAACTCACTCACTCTCTCACTCTTCCAATCTCTTGCCCACTTACTGGCTGAATCATCAACTGACCAACTGAATGAGTAACTGACTGACTTACTGACTCAGCTATCAACCAGCTGACTGACTCACAGACTTACTGACTCAGCTTTCAACTGGGTGATTGACTCACCGACTCACAGACTCACAGACTTACTGACTCAGTGACTGACTTACTGACTGAGTTTATGACTGACTTATTGACTCACTTATCAACTGGCTGACTGACTTGCATACTTGCTGACTCAGTGACTGACCTACTGATGAAGTAAATGACTGACATACTGACTTACCTATCAACTGGCAGACTTACTCACAGACCTACTGACAAAGTAAATGACTGATCCACTGACTTGCTGACTTGCCTATTAGCTGACTTACTGAAAGACTCACTTAATCCACTGACTTACCAACTTACTAGTTTATAGATGAAGAGATCAATTAATGGTTATCTGATCACTGAATGCAGATTTTTACCTCTGTCTGCTGAACTTATTAAGTTTTCCTTTCATTTTAGATTCCATAAGAGATACATCAAGGGGATGAGAGTGAATGTACGATTCACATTTAACAGGACACCTTTAAAACTGATGCATAGAGCTCTAGAAATTAGTCTCCAAATGATTGAAGAAAGGACACCAGTTGCTTCTTTAAATTTAGCAGTTGGCACACATTTAGATCCCCTCTTGAAAGGAAATGAGCTAGATTTTAGGTAAGTGTTCTTAGTTAGGCATAAGGGGGGTGCCCATGACACCCCCATTTGTGAGCCTTTTTTTGGTAAAAAATGACATGGAAGTTGACATGATGATCTGGTGATCATGAGTACCATCTGTTTGACACAGTTGACCCCCTTAAGCTTGGTGACCTCTTTTGGGAATTAAAATTTAAACCAATCATCTTGTTTCCAATTCTGCCTTTGACCCTTTAGCTCCCAGATCAAATTTGTAATTCTCCTTACTGTCAACCATACAATTCTTATAATGTTAGTTCAGAGAATTTGGTATTGGATCAACTAATTATCCCCAAATTGATGTTTTTCTTTTTTCTCATCACTTATCTGGTTAATTTACATTGATATTGTAAGGAGAAATTCTGTCTTGGTCACTCATGTAGTTAGTACATTTTTTAATTTGCTTCTAGATTTTTTGATGGAAAGCTTCAAAACAACAAAGAACAGGAACAGGCTGTGAGGAATATTGTTGCTGGGACATCAAGACCAGTTCCATATTTGGTTTTTGGACCTCCAGGAACTGGAAAGACTGTGACAATAGTAGAAGCCATCAAACAGGTCTGGTCACAGGCAGCCCAGGTGTACTAATTTGACTTGGGTGATTTCTGGCTTTAAGGGTCATTGATAAATTGAAATATGTAATATGCTGGCCAAAATTTCCTTGGTATGAAATCTATCTCTTTGTCTATTGGTATTAAATTACTCTTCAGTTCACTGATGATAATATTAAATGCAGCTATGTATGATATCAATAATTGACATTTGTTTATAAATCAACTCTGAGTAAAGATGTTTGATACATTTTTAGGTATTGAAGTTGTTTCCCAAGAGCTGCGTTCTTGCCTGTGCTCCATCCAACAGTGCAGCAGATCTGCTCTTGCAGAGGGTTATGGAGCACACAGTTATTCCAAGGTCAAAGGCCATTCGGCTGAATGCCTTTGGAAGGTCACTTCTATCACTGCCAAAAGATATTAAGGTAAGGTATATAAATCACGTTCAGGCAAAAATTAAGAGTGACTATTAGCATCTAATTTCTCCTTACATTATCACCCCTGAATCAAACATTAAGGTCATGAGAATGAAGTAAATGATCACCAGCTTGAAAAGACTTCTTTGCAGAGAGATGAAACTTTAAGGCTGCAAAGGAGACTACAACCCCAAGCTTTAGATTGTTAAACAAATTCTCCTTATCAGCACCTTAGGAAATGTATAGATAATAGTATGGGGAAGATGCATACTGATGTTAGGCTGTAAAAGGTTAATGGTGATTTCACCTCTTATTTGCAGGATGTTTGCTGTCTTACTTCAGGAGGGGATTTCTTTTTCCCATGTAAAGAGGAGATCATGGACAAGCGTCTTGTGGTGTGCACTCTGATTACAGCAGGAAGGTTTTTATGATCACTATTACAATGATTATTGGTTGATTGAGGTGCATTGAAAGTTTGGTGACAGGGTTTTGACTATAAAATAACAGAGTTGTTGCAGGCAACCTTCCTTATTTCCAATAGTGACAGAATTTCAAGAACATTGTGCATCAGGTGCCATCAAATGTGAAACAGAGACAGTTCATTGTGACAACAACACAATTTTAACCTTCAAATGTGGTTGCCAAACTTCCAGTCATTCTTCACTCAACTTAAAATCATTTTAAAAACCACTGACATCAAATACAAGTGACACAAGGAATATCATTCACTCATTAAAATTTCCAAATCAATACTACCATTACAGTTGATTTTCCTCTCTTGAAGATTGTTTGTTTGTTTTTTCTTTTAAGGTTAGTTTCTGCTGAGGTTCCCAACCATCATTTTACCCACGTGTTCATTGATGAAGCAGGCCACTCCCTGCAGCCTGAATGCTTGGTCCCCCTGGCAGGAATGTTTAGCACAGAAACTCCAGGAGGGGGACAGCTAGTCCTAGCAGGAGACCCTCAACAGCTTGGTCCAGTCCTTCGATCTCCAGTAGCCATTAAGGTAGAATAAATCATGAGAACTTGCAGACTGAGATAGTGCAGGATTCATTTAGTGTTTTCACTGTTTTGTATTTGATTAATGAAATGAATTTTTTCAGTATGGTCTTGGTATATCTCTTTTGGAATGGATGATGACAAAGTTGCCTTTCTATGGACGAATACCACAAGATGAAGAAGATGAATTGGGAGACTACAACCCTCTGATTATCACAAAGTTATTGAAGAACTACAGATCGCATCCATCTATCTTGGAGGTATCTCCACTTATGTCCAGAAATGCATGCAATGACAAAAATGGCAGATTTGATGAAATTTTATGAAACAGAGTAAATTTTCGTGGATTTGATAATTTTGGCAAATTTTAGTCAAATTAGTCAAAGTGAAAGCAGCTTGGAAGAATTGACGATTTTATCAAATTTTAGCTAATATAGAACTGATCTGTTTTTCCATGGCACTTTCATTTCCACAGCTACCAAATGAGATGTTTTATGATGATGAACTAGAATCCTGTGCTGACAAGCTAACAAGAGAATCTTTGTGCAACTGGAGTCGTCTTCCTTGCAAGGGATTTCCAATTGTTTTTGAAGGAATCCGGGGACGAGATATGCGAGAGGAAAAAAGCCCATCATTCTTCAACCCTGAGGAGGCAGCAGTAGTTGTGCAGTATGTCAAAGACTTGAAGGATACCAGAGGAATCAAAGTGCTTACCTCAGAGATTGGCGTCATTTCACCCTACAGAAAACAGGTATGAATAATCTTTAGTTAACTCTTATGCACCTAAAATCCAATTTTAAATAGTTTTATACCTAATTCAAAGTCATCTCTGCTTTATCTTTCCTTAATATGTGTGAACATCAATCCTTTTACACCTAAGGGTGATTAGGATCTAATTTCTCCTCACACCATCTATGGGGAATCAGTCTGTATGGTTATGAGAGGAAAGGAAATGATCACTGACTAAAGAAGATCTTGATCATTAAATAATTTCTCCTTGTCAGCACCAAGATAAATGTATATGTATAAAGAAGTGGAATTACAATATGCAGACTGGTATAAGAGCATATTGGGTTAAGTGACTGATTTAGAAGTAAGGTTTTAACAAGGAAATTCCTTAAAGCTGAAGCTTACTTAGTCTGTTCCCATCACCTATCAGTTTAACAAAATATTGTACATAAGTTGTATGCACAATTCTTCAGGAAGCGGAGAGCTTAAATTTAAGTTTTAAGCTTTTGTAAGAGAACCAGACAGAAGATAATTTTTAAAATTTTCTTTACATTTTTTGGAACTTAAGCATGGCACTCAACAGAAAGCATTTTATAGGTCATGACAAAATGTTAATACTTGATCAGGAAAATAATGAAAACACATGTAATCAATATTATGTAACTGTACATAATGCAAATTGAAAAATGACTCCTAATCAAGTGAAAAAGTTGTAGGCTGAGATGGCTCCTAGATACTTTAAATTTGAAATGATCACCCTGCCTTTGGTTGCGACTGTGAAAATGTGTGAAAAAATGATTATGATAGACAAGTGAATGAGTACAAATTTTAAGATGATACAAATTTACATCTGCATGTTACTTGATTTTAGGTTCAAAAAATAAGGACTTTGCTTGACAAGGCTAACATCACAGATGTGAAGGTTGGTTCTGTTGAAGAATTCCAAGGACAAGAAAGGAGAGTGATAATCATATCCACTGTGCGGAGCAGCCAGGAATATCTTCAGCTTGATGCACAGTTCAAACTGGGTTTCTTGAAGAATCCAAAGGTTTGTTTACTCTTAAAGGAAAAAATAAAATTGCATTTTAAAATGATTTAATTGCACCAGCTGTCCTTGTTTAATTCTTAGCAAGGAAAATTTTTTATCAATGATAATTGAGAGATGTTTCCTCTTAAACTTTTTGTAGCGGTTTAATGTTGCAATCACAAGAGCCCAAGCTTTACTGATTGTGGTCGGAAATCCTCATGTTCTCAGCAAAGACCGACACTGGAATAGGTAATAAATAGACTTCTTTACAAGTGTGTTATGATAATTTAAGGCAGAATGTTTTTTATTACTGGAAATCAGTCAGTTAACCCTTTCACTCCCAAGATCTCACTTTAATAATAACTCTCCTTATAGTCTGTCATTTCATTGTTTTTATGATACTTTAGAGAATTTGGTGTTAGATCAAGTACTTATCTTGTTATTGATATTTTTCTCTATTCTCAACTCTTGTTGGTTCTGATTGTTCAGATATTGTAATGAGAAATTCTGTCTTGGTCACTCATGGGAGTTTAAGGGTTTTAAAACAATAGTAAGAGCTATTTCAGTTTGTGTACACTACTAGACAAGTGAACATAGCTTCAAGGTTCCATAATATTTAAACAATTTTATTTTGATTTTAATTGTTGGGAATATTGTGTAAAATGTAACTCTAACTTCTCAAAAGTAGTTTACAATGGATGTTATTTTCATCAGTTGGGAGAATTTGCTTTAAGATCTCCTGAGCTGAACCCATTACACCCCACTGTTAGTAAAAATCTTCTCCATACTGTTCTCTATACACTTCCAGAGGTGCTGACATGGAGAATTTGTTTAACAATCAAGAGCTTTGTTAGTTAATGATCATTCCTTTTATTCTCACGACCTCCATGTTTGATTCAGGGGTGATATTGTAAGGAGATGTTAGATGCCAATCACTCTTAGGGGTTAAAAGGTTATGGTTTGTTCATTTTCAAAACTGTGTGGCTTCTTTGTTACTCAATAGAGAGTGTTTCTCTATACTTTCAACAGGTTCATAAAATTCTGCAAAGATTCAAAAGGCTACAGAGGATGTGATTTCAAGCCAGCAATTGAGGATGATGAAGATCTTATAAATCGCCTGAGGCGGGTTCATCTGGACACAAAGGAAGCATTAGAAGCTGTTGAATCTACAGCAGATGACACTGTAACACAGGCTGAACAACCTGAATGGCGCAAACCGGAAGAATTTTAAATTACGAATTAGATGAGTTTTTAAATTGCCATAAATTATAAGGAGCATTTTATATGGATGTTGTTTTTGCTAGAATTGACCTCAAAGGTCCATAGGCAATTAAGATAACTGGTCAGACCAGAAGATTGTGAGGCAAAATTTCATGGCCCACCATCCTTAGTGAGATGTGGGGACCTATTGGTTAGTGCCCTTGACCCAAGTCCAGAGATGCAGCTTGGAGATCTGGTCAGGTCAGAGTGTTGTGTTCCTGGGCCAAACACTGTACTCTCTCCAACCAGGAGTATAAATGAGTACAAGAAAATTTTCAGGGAAGCCTAATGAAATTTTAGGGGGGGGGGGTAACCTTGTGATGGAGGGCATCCCATCCAGGGGGGAGTAGTATAAGGACCTGCTAGATGGCCCACTTGGTTTAAGTACTGACTCAACCTACCTCAACCATTCTAAGAATTTTCTCTGTCTTAATAATACAAATTATTTAGCAAGTACTAAGTCCTTTTGAAGTTTTGGCATTGTTATTAACCGCAAAGAAAATTTAAAGCATTTTTAACATTTTACTGCTATTTAAAATATTTAAAGTTCTTGAATGAAGTGTTTTTAATTAGTTTTACCTTATAAAAATTGCACATTTGCTGGGTGGTGCATGTTGATAGAGATGTTTCTGTGCAGCAATAAGCCACATTGTTGACAAATGAGAGAATTTGGAAGACTGGCCACAGCTTCATTAACCCTCAAGAGCTGATTGTTAATTCTCTCCTTTAGCTGCTAGACAATTCCTAGTAAATCAGTTACGAGAATATGGTGTTAGATCAAGATTAGCCACTTGTACCTGATAAGATTGAGTCTTCTCATTACCTGTTTGCTGGATAACGTATGGATATTCTAGGGAGAAGTTACATGTTAATCACGCTTGGAAGTGTAAGGATCAAAGGAGAATTCACCACACCAAATAAAAGCTGTCTTTTAACCACATTTTAATAATCTTTGAAATGTATTGTTCTCCTTTTGCAACACTACACGGGATTAATTTATTCATTCCATTGTAATTTCTTTTCTTTATTGATTTTAACACTTTAACTCCCATGAGTGACCAAGACAGAATTTCTCCTTACAATATCAATACAATATCAACCAGATAAGTGATGAGAATAAAGAAAAATATCAATTTGGGGATAGTTAGTTGATCCAATACTAAATTCTCTGAACTAATGTTATAAGAATTGCATGGTTGACAGAAAGGAGAATGAAAAATTTCATCTGGGAGTTGAAGGGTTAAGTATTAAATGTAGATTGTAAGCTTCATTTTCCTTTTAAGAAATCAGAACTCATGGTTGTTAATCATTTAACCCCTAAGAGTGTCCAGCATCTAATTTCTCCTTACAATATCAGTCTTGAATCAAACATTATGGTCATGAGAATAAAGGAGATGATCACCAACTAAAGAAGCTCTTGATTGTTGAACAAATTCTCCTTATCAGAACCTTAGGAAATGTCTAGAGAGTAGTATGGAGAATATCTGTACTGATATTAGGGAGTAAAGGGTTACAGGATCAATTCTAATTTTAAGTCCAGCACTTTAAAAAAAATATTTGTCAGAAATGGTATTTAAATGTTATCCTAGTTTTAACATTTTTGATTTGAGTTACCCAGCAGAGCACGGATGTAACTGTTGATAAAACACCAACTTCTCCTAAGTTACACAAGGCAATACAAGGCAATCTTCAAGGAGAATCTGGTATTCTATCTGGGGTTTGTTGCAATTGCAACCCTAACAACATTAAGCAGATACTTTCATGCTCTTACTTCCAAATTTCAGGCTCAATTCTGTTCACAGTCTGATAAATTAGAGAGTGAAGCTAAATTAAACAACTATTTCATCTGATGTTTGTCTCACTTCTCATCACTTCCCTGCTTGACAATGTATAAATACTGTGAGGAGAAAATCACACCTTATGTTTCTTTCCTTGGGATAATCTTAGCTGTGTTTTCCCTTGACTTCACATTGAAAAATATAGAGACCCTTGCAAATAAAAACTGTTCTCCTCAGTACCACACCCAAGGAATTACTACAATCATGTTACAAGTCTTAACCATCAACATTATTATTATCATGATAAACTATTTAATGAATCCAGACTAAGTTACAAGTGAGATTTTACAACATTGGTGAATGGCAATTAATGGAAAAAGAGAGAAAATAGAAAAACAGCAGAATACATGTACTTTATTGTTTAATATGGAGGTGTTTATTGGTAAAAAATTTACTTTCACAAGCAGGTTGCCAATTTCATCTTTATTCTCATTTTCCAAAGCAATTGTAGAGCATAATGACACATTTTAAGTATTGACTCAACCCTTTCACACCATAACATCAGTATTAATATTCTCAACACCCTTTAGCACTGACTAAGAGAATTTGTTTAACAATCAAAGCTACTTAGGTTGCCAATCTTTCTCTTTATCGTCATTTTCTAAAGCATCACAGAGCATGGTTGTATATTTCGCATTACTACTGACAACCCTTTACATCATAACATCAGTATAAATATTCTCAATACACTTTTCTGTAAATTTCCTTTAGCACTGACTAAAAGTGTGTGATTCTGGGGTGATATTGTAAGGAGAAATCAGTGGCTGATCACTTGTGGTTTAAAGTTTTAATGGAAAGTTGCTCTAATAATTATTCAACAAGTCTCCTTGTCTATCATTTTCCATGTTTTCTTGTGTACTCTCCCAGTGAAGGCGTCTTACATATGCTGGCTTACCACTGATGAATAAAATACCATCCTGTTTAGATGCTTGATTGACAACTTCGTCAACATCATCCAAATTCCAAAACCCCACCACACAAGACATAGAATCATTGCTCTCCATCCTGAAAACCACAGATTGGACCATAAGGGACTGACTAGTGAAATAATCAATGATAGCTTCCTTGCTAGAGTTTCGATCTAGATCATCAATGAGAATCATCATGCTTCGCTCTGTCTCCCATTTAAATGCACCAGTTGACAAAGCCCTTTCATCAACTCTCCTTACATCGACATTCTGGCCACAGATCACATGATCATGCAATAAAACTTTCTCCACAGCACCTACATCAGTAAATTCAACAGTGGGCCAATCTGTGTTAATTCGATATTTCACACCATGGATATCAGCATGGGTGGGTCGATGATGATCTGACGTCAGGTCCATTCGAACAATGTCTCCAAACTGTTCAAAATAAAGCTGCAACGCTTCTAGGGTGATATCTGCGGGAGCACCACGTAGAAGTACTTTGTTTGATTCCCTATTGTCAGACAGTGGTTTCACATAGATTTTAAATCGAGATGCAATCACCTGCAGTTGTTGCTTCAAAGCCATTTTAGCTGCATCTTCTCTCTTAAACACAACCATGCATTGACTGCTTTGGTTGCTGTCAGAATCCCTTCCAAGAACCTGCTCCACCTCCCCAAAAATTGAAAAATGCTTGATGAGGTCATTATCAGATATTTCAGGGAAAACATCAAAGACATTGATGGTCCTTTTTCTCTTCCTTGCAATCTCAGTTTTGTCTTTAATTTTAAAAGGTCTTGCCACATATATCTTCCACCCTTTTATCACATGCAAAGGGTTCGACAACACATCTTTGACAGTTTCTGGATTTTTGAATGTTACAAATCCATAACTTTTCGGGAAAACAATCATTGCATCTTCAACTTCTCCAAAGGTTGAAAAATAATCCTTCAAGTCTTGCTCGGTTGTTCTGTAATCACCAGTTTCGAGCGCAGATACATATATTTTCCTTTCTTGCAGTTCTTCTGATTGAATATCTTTCGTAATTGGCAATTCGCGGGATTTTTTCAGAGATCTCACTGCTAGGAGCACTTTTACGTCTTTGCCGTCGATACGATGGTTGGTAGAGGACAAAACTTTCTCCGCAACCTTTGGACTGTCAAATGTCACGAACCCATAGCCTTTTGATTTTCCACTTAGTTGATCGCGGACTACTTTGGCGTGCTCTATCTTGCCGTACGATTTAAAGTAAAGTTCTAAAGTCTCAGCGTCAGTTTCCACCGTACCTTCTCTCAGGCCAACGACCATGATTTTCCTTTTCTGGTGTTCAGGTGAAAGATTCCTTGTGGCATAGGATAGAAACCTACTGTTTCTGGGTAAATATAGACTAGTGGCAGAAAAAAGCCTCGGCGTTTGAACGAAGAGTGGGCATCGAAATCCGGTCCAAGAGAACCGTACTACAACCGCCATTTTGTTTCCTTCGTATTGCATTGCATCAAGGGAAAGTTTAAAGAATGAACCCAGTCCCCCTGTGCTTTTATACTTCGCTATTTGTTTCACCCTAAATAAAACACAAGCATTGCTGTTTATTTACGTTTTGTGGAGGTTAAAATTGCCCAAGAGAAAGGATACAAAACTCATAAATAACATTAGGTATATATCAAATCTTGAGTTTTAACAAGGGCCAAAAAATTGAGATTACAACTGAAATTTCAGTTCAAAATTCATCTTCTCAAACCCTGAGCTCACTTACAGCATGACAAACTATCGATCAGTATACACCACTATAACATAAGGTTAAGTCCTTTGCTCACAAGTTTCACCCTTAATCAGTCTACAAATTCTCCATACTGTTCTCTATACATTTCCCAAGATGCAAACAAAGAGAATTTATTTAACGATCAAGAGCTTCTTTCGTTGGTGATCATTTCCTTTATTCTCATAAGCTTATGGTGTGTGATTCAGGGAATATATTGTAGGAGAAATTAGAAGCTA